ATTATTTTTATTGCTATCTCATAACTGTAATTTCGCTATTGTTATGAAGCATATGTAAATATCTGCGTTTTCTGATGATCTTAGGCAACCCATATGAAAAGACTGTTCAACCCCCAAGGGGTTATGAGCTACAGGTTGAGAACCGCTGGCATAGGTAAATAGTCAATGAGTCAAATAAATGATAGAGTATAGGTATACTATAACCACTGATTAGTCAAGCTGATTGGTCAAAAGGATCATAAGTGCCAGGGGAAGGGACGATGGTTTTCAAAAAAGGGAGTCTTCAGAAAAGACTTTCAAGAATAAGCAACTGACCTTGTTTAAATCTTGGCAGTGTACATAGCAGGGATGTAGCCAAGAGGGAGGCCCTGAGCCAGGAACGGCAATGAAGGGAATACAACTTATATGGGGCATGCTACATAAAAGGCCCCAAGACAGACTTCTCTAACACCTCCTGCAGTGACCAGAGGAAGGAAAAGAATTAAAAAAATCTAGTCCTGAATTTGACATAGTGTAAGGGAGTACAGTGGTATGCCTTGGTGATAAGCAATGAATGAAAGCCCGAAACTTCCACTTATATCAGTGGTCCAAATGTTCTTCTACTGTCTGTCTTCTACTAGCTGAAATTCTGAAAGCCCCTCTCTCTCCTTCATGGCCACCATGCCCTATGAGATCTTCCTTCCCCCAGCCTCTCACCTCATCTTCCTTTGTTCCTCTGAAAAAATCTGATTCTGATATAGTCAAAGGCAAGAAGATGGTGTAGGCAGAGTGGTTCTCTGAACACAGGACAGGGCATGGGGACCGGAACAGAGAGCCAAGAGCACATCAAGAATGACCCAGAGAGAACCATGGTGCTTCTGAGGGTTAGGAACAAAAGAGTAACAATCGGTTTAAACACAGAAACCATCACTCTAGCTATAAGGGACTAGATCAGAGTAGTAAAGATGCTAAGACGTGTATTTAGTTCTGAAAATGATGCTGGGAGCAGAGAATACACACACTGATCCCATCTGAGCCTGGGCGATCACTGCCTAGGAACCCTGGAAATGTCACTGAACTATCGAGTCCCTAGTTTATCTCTCCCCCTGTCGAAGGGAAACAATAACCCTGTCCCTATTTACACTGCAAGCATAACTGAATTCATATGAAGTCATCTTGCAAACTATTATGATTCTATGAATATAAGACATTAAAGTGACTACTCAACCCCACATGCCCTTTTCTTCATTGTCCATGCAACGAGCATCAATCTAGGAACAAAACAGTAGCTCATCAGCTTCATATGTTTGTGGGGCTTTATTCCCATGCAGATAAGATATTTCACCTTTAGGAGCAGAGAACTTTTGATGTTTCTCTATATATATTTCAGTGCTTGACAAAGAGTACAGCATAGAGTTGGTGCTCCATAAATATTTTCAGATGAAATAAAATAACAGTATCTATGACTAAGGAAAGGGTTCAGTTGGTAACATACTTGCCTCTCAAGCACAAGAACCTAAGTTCCATCCCCCTAGTACCCATGTAAAAACATTGGCTTGTTGCTTTCAATCCTAATGCTGGGAGGTTGAGACAAGAGGATCATTAGGACTCAATGGCCAGACAACATAGTTTACTAGGTGAGCTCAGGTCCCAGGGAGAGACTCTTGTTTCAAAAAGCAAGGTAGAATGGCTCCATATAAATGTCATTTAAGACCTGCACATACCCATGCATGCCTGTATATACACACATATGCATACTTGCACACAAATGTGCACCTACATGTGCTGTGGGACAATGGTCTTGTACCCTGTAATGATTTGTCACTTGTACTGGTTTAATAAACTACTGATTGACCAGTAGCCAGGCAGGAAGTATAGGCAGAGTGACCAGAATAGGAGAATTCAGGGAAGAGAAAAGACTCAGTCTGCAGTCGTCACCCAGATACAAAAGAAGCAAGATAACAATGCCTCGCTGATAAAAGGTACCAAGCCACATGGCTAACACAGAAAAGAATTATGGGTTAAGATGCAAGAGTTAGTTAATAAGAAGCCTGAACTAATAGGCCAACCAGTTTATAATTAATGTAGGTCTCTGTGTGTTTCTTTGGGACTGAAAGGCTGCGGGACCAGCAGGAAAACCTCTGTCAACACATATGAACATGCACATCACAGATGTGCACATACACAAACATAAATATAAATCTCGAAAAAGAAGAACATTCAACAACGGGCATTAGCCACATGGTTGTTTCAGCTTCTCTTCTTTTTCTCCAGCGGAAGTTCAGTAACCTAAAAACTTGTGATGTTTCTATCTCCTTGGAATGATACAGATTTGCGGATCCAAAAAGTGCACTTTAAGTTCAGGGATTGCATGTATCTCCAAGGACTTCCATGTTTCCAAAGCATGTTTTTGGTGTGCTGGATACTGACCCAACAAAGGCACGCCAATTTTAAGGGCCCACACTTTTTCCCATGAGCAACAACCAGGTAAGGGCACTGCTGTGCAGTACTTAAACTAGTCAACAAGGTGAGCTCTGGGCCCCACACAGCAGCAACCTAAAAGACCTCTGACCCCAAGCAGGAGTCACAGGGAGGGGCAGAGGCTGGAAAAAGGGAGGGGCAAGGCCCTCAAAGCCTTCCTCTGAGTCATCTCAAGATCCCTTGATGCCCTCTTTTTTCATCTTGAAGAGAAGAAAAACTAATTACAGATATTGTTATAAGGAAAAAACGAAGTGATGAGCACATAAGACTGAGCACAGCATCCAGAGCATGATAAGTAACCAAGGGATGCAGGCTGGCATCATCATCGCCGACTTGTCAGTATTACTGTTACTTTTATGGTTATTAACTCAACTCATAGAAAAAAATTAATCTCTGTGGACATGAAAAACAAAACAAGGAAAGAGACGTTCACAACTGCTCCCAAGGTCTTTGCTTCCTGGAGCCAGTGAGAAAGCATAGACAAGCCAGGGGAAGGGAGTCACCAGGGTCACCAGGCCTTGACCTAGGGCAGCGGTTCTCAACCTGTGGGCCATGACTCTTCTGGGGATCGAATATCAGCTATCCTGCACACCAGATAATTACATTACAATTCACAACGGTAACACAATTACGGCTACGAAGTAGCAACTAAATAATTTTATGGTTGGCGTCACCACAGCGTGAGGAGCTTTATTAAAGGGTCACGGCGTTAGAAAGGTTGAGAACTACCGACCTAGACCGATGTTTTTCAGTGTTCCACAGGCTCCCTAACCAGAGGGAAGGGGTGAGAATTCCCAAGAGGAACCATGTCCTTGTGCTTAAACGTCACAGAAATCCATTCCCCTCGCTCCATCATTTTGCTCTCATCACCACACAGGTAATAATGATTGCTTAGCCCCTGATACTGCTGGGACCTCTGGTATGCTTTAATTCATTTAATCGTCACAACAATCTTGTCAAGCTAGGGGCTCTTATGAATCTTCTTTTATAGAGAAGGAAACTGAGCAAGAAAGCTAGTCCAAGATCACAGGCTAAACAACGCTAAAACAGGGACTCCCACTTAGGCAGTTCGACTGCAGAATGGATACTTTAATGTGCCAACAATGCCTCCTCTTTCAAGCTTTCATAAGGTTCTGAGCAGACACACCACAGCCCGGGCGGGCACACCGCCACATCTCCCTACACCATGTGAGAGGCGTGGCCTCAGGCCCATGGGCTTTCTGCAGATGTAGTGCAGTGAGAGGCACGGTTGAGCACTAATGTCCTGCACTTCTGTGGCTATCAGGGCTGACGACCACTGGGAGAAGATTAAAAGTCTGCCATTAAACCAGGCAGAGCTGGAGTAGACCTGCTTTAAGAGAGCTCTTCATTGGGGAACTATATTTTCTTCTTGACAATTTCCTTAATGGCAATAACGCTGGAAGAACAAAAGAGACCCAAGGGCAAGGAGCAGAAGATTTTCATGGAGGCAGGGGCTGGGAGCAGGGAGAGAGGAGGAGAATTAAACAGGCAGAAGAGATGATGACCCCTTTGATTTCTGCAGAGTGCTCGGGTGGCCCAACCCACCCCTCTGCCGTTTTCTCGGGTGGCACTAACAGCTGCCCAGAGCTCATCAAAGTTTAACCAGACCGATCAATACAGAAAAAAAAAATATGGGGAGCTGTCCAGCTGAAAATTACCAAGCACCTCATGAATATTTAAAGACCTCAGCTAGAAAGAAGGAGAAGGAAAAGAACTCGGGATTTCATTTTCTCCTCTAAGTGTGGGGAGAGAAAAGACTGTCTGTTGTTAATGACCATCAAAATATAGTCATTTGAACAGCACAGACTTCAGATACAAACCAGCAAGCCCAGTCTTACCACAGGCCTCTCCAGATGAGCAAGTGTGGGGCTCATAAGAAGATGCCCAGCTCTCTGAGAGCATGCCATGATTTCCTGCCTCACTGGCTTACCCCTGTTGTTTCTTCTGTCCAGAGTGCAGCGCCTCTAGTGTGTCCCTCCGGGAGGATCCAAAGCTCATTGTTAATAGGAGCTGGATGTTTAGTTAGGTTCCCACCCTGCAGCTGCAGATCACTCACTACTAACGACTATCTGAGCTCAGGTAAGCTGGCCAGCGCCCTCTTTTCCCGTTCTTCCCTGATACAAATAAAAAGGGGTAGTACTGGTTGTAAGGCAGTCACAAAGGTTCGACCACAGTGTCTGTTTACGCATTGGCATGTGACAGAGGCGCCCTGTGATTCACCTATGACCCTCACTTCCTCATGTTTACATCTCAGGCTCCATCGTTCTCTTTCCTGTCTTCCCCATCCCCCTGCGCTTCAGAGTCAGCTCCAGCTACAATGTCCTGGCTGCAGCAGTGCACCCAGCCCATGCCAGCTGTCATGTCATTCCCAGTACCTAAAACATTTGCTTCTGAAAGGCAAAGCCAACATCATCCAGCTCCAGCTCCGGGCCTCAAATTACCCTACCATCCTGTGAACACCAAGCGCACACATACAAAACCACATGCACATGAACGGGACACCATGGTTTGACTCTCACCTTGGTGACAAGGCAACACGCTGCCCAGATGTCCTCAGAGGATTGCTCATGGTGGTTGACCTGGGGCTCCCACTTCTTAATCGGCTCTTCGGCGAAAGCCAGCAGGATCCCTTGCTGGTCCACCAGAGCTGCACGGACGCTACCTGTTCCAACATCAATGCCCACGTAGTAGTGGCCTGGCTCCTGGTCTCCACCAGACATCATGGTCTTTGGCCTGCGGTGAACAAGTGTAAACACTATGTGAAGACAGAGAGGCCCACACGGGTGGCCGAGAAACATCTTCCAATTGGAGAGAAAAGGGAATCGAACCACCTGAATGGGAGCCGTTTATTATTGATGCATCTAGTCAAAGGTTTTATAGGCACTGAGCAAGGTGGTCAAAGAACGGGCACATCTAACACAAGGCATTCCCATTCCTGGATGGGAGTCGGAACTAAATGATGACTTGAACAAATTTAGAGCAATGAGGGGGTAGAAGGAAACCAAGATAGAGCCAGAGAGAGACGGATGTTTACTCTGGGAATCTGGATCCACAAGACAAGCAGCCTTGGAAAGGAAAGAAGCATCATTTTCTAGTCAGTCATGCAGTAAGTCAACCTCACAGGTACCCTGTGACAAGTTGTGTACGCAACAGCATGAGGCCCACTCTTCTCTATGACTGAAGGAAACTATATGGAAGTCTCGGTCATGCTCTGGAGCAAGGAAGACTCTCTTTCTTTCACTCGCGGTCCACACACTGCTCAACAGCAAAGTCCATCACGATGGCGAGGCCACATTACACTGACAAGGAAACCAGTGTATGGAAACGGAAGGCATTTCCCAAGCTTCACTGGGGCAGCTAGGCCTGAACTCCCCACTTGTGCGCCCCTGAACCTCAGGCTGATGCCTTTTTCCTGCAGAAGCTTGACGTAATGGTTTTGAGAAGAAACAGATACACCACAGCCATCATGAACTGACTGGGAATTGGGAGGAGACCCAGGAGACACGGGATCAAGAGTGTGTTAGATGATCTGTTTTCCTGACAGACCCCCGGAGAGCTACAAGGAAACCTGACCTGAGAACCCCCAGAAATCCCTGGGCCCAGGGGCTGCTCACAAGGTGAGCCACATGGCACACAAAGTCTCCCAGGGCTCTTGTTCTCCAGTCTCAACTTCACGGGCACGGCACAGCTGCCTCCCTGGCCATCCAGGCAGTAGGAGCTCCTGTGGCCCAGTTTGAACCTGAGCAACAGTGTACACCCTCAACTTCAGAAGAACGATGGTTCCTTGGCCACAACACTCTTGGGGATTCTAAACAAGTCAGCCAGCAGATGTTCAGTTACTGCTTCCTGGATATTTATCCCAATAAAAAGGAACAAAGAGAAAAAAAAAACCAATTTCATTAAAACTGATAGCTTCTCCCTTAATCCCAGTGATTTCCCATCTGCGTGTGATCCCTTTGACTCGGTAGCAGGTGAAGAAGAAAATAGAGATGCAGGAGTAATGATGCTCACTGCCTCCCCCTGAGCCTGAAAGGGTTCCCAGTCTCAGCAGGGGGCCTCCTCCTGTCTCCCTGGCTTTCCTCCCTTGAGAGCTCATATAGACATGAGTACCACTTTTCAAATTCATTCCTTCATGCACTCAGCAGTGACACCTTCTTTAAGCCATTAAGCAATAAAAACAAAAATTTAAATGAAACAGATAAATGCTGAACTGTTAGCCCCATCCTCCCTGCTTTCTCTTAGTGGTTTATGAGGAGTAAAGGAAGTCCTGAATGAATGTTTATTGTGCCACGTAAGTATGACCATATTGAGGACCGGCAATGCCTCAGACCCATGGGAATGCCAAAGTCTTCTCCTGGTCCATTAAAAAAAATGTCAGCTGCACTTTCCTCCTCCTGGATGTAAACAGCCTGAGACTCCCCTACCCATAGAGACTCCCTACCAAGATTAGCCAACTCCACCTCCTCAGTCAGCTATTATAGTCACGCCTCCCATTAAAACTGTATACAATAATCCCGCCTCCTCCTACAACTGTATACAATAACCCCCACCCTCACAGCCCAGATGCTGCTGGTCCATCTCCATCAGAACGTGCACAACCCACCCAGTCCTGACTTTTCTTTACTTGTGGCTGTGTGTCCAGCCTTTCATTTCCTGGTGTCCCCAGTCAGGTTTCCAGGATGAAGCCATGATGGACACTATAGTGATTACTCCACTAGGCTCTCTCTCAAGGCAGCACCCTACCATCATTATAGAGTTAGACAACCTGAAGTCTTCAACAAGTGAGGACCTCTAAGAGCTTAACACCAATGAAAACAGCCCTGTCCTCCCCACAACCGGGGTCCTAAATATCCTCACAGTCTGTGAAATACACTGCATTCAACACTGCTGGAGGCTCCTCTGATCAGTTGCTCTTTCCTCCCCAGCCCCATCCTCTACCTCTCTAAGGGGGGGCCTCCTTGCAGTTCTTTAATCTCTACAAAGGCCGCCAATGCAGTTCAGTGTCTAGACTTGCATTTCACAATTTTTGGTGGTGTGTTTCTTTGTCTATCTCCCTTATTGGACTAAACCTGGAAGAAAAAAAAAAGGGAAGCTACTGACTTCTGCATCCCCACTTCCTTCCAGTTTCTGGATTATAATCGGTTTTCAATAATAGTTTACTGAATGAACTCCTGAATCAGTAAACAAATAGACAAAAAAATGAAAACAGTCATGCATTTTTTGTTTGAATTACTCAGTCTATGTTTATCCAGTCACGTGTCTCTGAACAGGGTTGCTTTCTGGGAAACGCTCTCAATGTAAATGTCTAAACTGTATATGCATCATAGGTGTACTGACAGAAAGCCAGAAGGGAGCGCTTGGGGCATCCCCAGAAGCATGGGATGCCCCTGCCCTGCTGTGCTTCCAGTTACCACGGCTGTTATGCACACATCACTAAATCCCCTAGTGTGCTGGTTTCTTCTAAACCCTGCATCAACCAGTTATGTATTTTCTTAAAATGGTTACAGCCACATTCTTTTTGAGTTTGTTTTGTTTTGCTTTTTGAGACAGGGTTTCTCTGTTGCTTTGGAACTGGTCCTGGAACTTGCTCTATAGACCAGGCTGGCCTCGAACTCACAGAGATCCTCCTCTCTCTGCCTCCCAAGTGCTAGGATTAAAGGCGTGCGCCAACATTATAGCCACATTCTACGCGACTTTTATTTTCATATTTAGCTTCCCTGAAATCACAGTGATTCTTATTGTCAATGGTATCCTGGAATCCACTGGTAGGATTTCTTCGGATATGATGAAGTAATCAGGCTGGTCTTGCACCAAGCACTCCGCTGAGGACAAGGTGACCGACAACACAAGAAGATGCCTTGCCTCATACCGCCCTTGGCAGCTGTTCTGCCCACCTGCCACCAGCTGCAGGCACCTTGTTCTACATGGATTTCTTCTTGCTTCCTCCATCCCCATTATGGAAGCTTGGGGAGGCAGCTCCTTCCCAGGTACCATAGTCGTTCTCCTGCTGCTGCAGGCAACCACTCTAACAGAAGCATCTTGAGGGAGAACGGATTTATTCTGGCCCACAGTTCAAGGGTCCAAGTCAGCATCAGGATGGGGAAACCAAGGCTGCAGTACCCTGGAGCAAATCACCATACTGAACCCACAGCTGGAATACAGGAGGCCTAGGGAATGCACACTTGTGCTCAGCATCCGAGTTCCACTTACATGGTCGAGGATCCGAGTCGGAGAGGGGTGACATTCATGGTGGGGCTGTCTTCTCAACTCAGCTAAAGCAAGCAAGATGCTCCCCATGGACATACCCAGAGGCCCACCTCTCAGGTCACCATAGATTCTGTCAAGCTGACAGCATTAACCATCACACCACAACCCAAGAATGCCAAGAGCATCTGCTCTTGCCTGATACTATTCCTTGAATAGTCTTACCTTGAAAGAAACCAGAAAATAAGTAGGAAATGAAAAATCTCTACAAAGCTTCTGCCTTACTCACACCGGAATGGTCAGGAACATTCCGGCTTCTTTCTATGTTGCCAACCCCAAGGCAAAAGAGATTCCCCATGGAGCTGGCCCGGGGTACCACATTCCTCTGCAGGTAGTACAATGTCTTATCACCAACCACCAAGAAAAATCAGAGAATGAGTTCCACTCTCCAGGTGTGGACTTGCTCTAGACTGGATTATAAATCTGGGAAAAGAACCTATCCTCAAGAAAGCCCTAACTTCGTGTGGAAAGTACACTGCAACCATTATAGTTGCCTCAAACTGCACCCTTGTCTTGATAGGATAGTTAGGGTCTGGCACAAAGGAGAGATTCAGCAAGCTCCTGGGACCCGGTGAAGGAACTGAGTGTCATAAGAGACCGTCATTAGGGGAATAATCAAAGGGGCTGTGTTCACTATGTATGCAATGCTCTGCTAAGCAGTCTGTTTAGCACTTCTTGCTACATCTTGATCCTGAAAACTACTGAAGAAACAACTACTACCATCTTCATTTTATTTCAAGTCCTAGCTGACTGAAGCAAAATACTCCGAGAGTTCATGCAAACGCTAAGTGAGGTGGTGAGCCATCCACTCTCAAGCCCTTAACCTGTCTTAAGATGCTCTGCTCCCTTTTGATGGTCTTTCATTACCAAATGATGATTTGCCAAGGACCGTGTTAAGGTCCTTTGCCTACTGTGTTAACATTATCTAACTTAGAAACCAGGCTGCCCACATTCAAAGACTGTCTTTCCACAACACCAAAGTGCCTCTGTGTAGCAATCCTCCAACTTCTGTAAGTATTACTAGGCATCCTACGGGATGCCAAGAGCCCTCTGGGAGCCGGGGGGGGGGGGGGCGGGGTGTTCTCGCAGCAGCATCTACACAAACCTCCCAGTACATGTTTTTTAAAGAAAAAGATCCTAATTCAACACTCATGTTCACCGCTTCTCTTTCTCATTTTTGTGCTCTTAATCTCTTTGAAAGTTGTTTCCACACCTGGAGCCTGAAATCAAGCAAGACTGAGCCCTTGAGCACCAGGATTCCCTGAAACCAGATCTGTATGTTATGAAGACTCTGCCTGGAGACTGAAGCAGGTCCCATGCCCCTCCTACTCTGTGCTCTTTGTCCCTGGGTTGCAAGTACAGTTGTCTGTATCCTGAACTCCAAACTTAATCAGTACCCAAAGAAACAAAAACCTAAGAAAGAGAGAAAATACTATTCCTTTTCTAATCAGGAAATAATATTTCCTAACTGAAAGGAAATAATACTCCTTTTTGAATTGAAGAAGAAGGGGGGGTGAGGATCCACGTTGGGTTGCTTGTTTCTATCAAGTGTTTATCATACTACAGAAACCCAATCAATGAGGGTCACTCTGTCACTCACTACTTTATATTCCAACGGCAAGCGTAATCTGCCCAAAGCACACAGGCTTTGAACCGCAGCCTACAATGCTGAGTTTGGGGCCCTTTTCACAATATTCAGCTAAAATTGAAAACCAAACCTTTGGTAATTTCAATAACAACAGCATATGCCACAAAAAGCTGGTCTTTCTTGTGCTCTCCCCTGCGAGTCACCTACACGACGTCATGGTTTTATTTGCTCAGTTCTGTAGCCCTCTCAATTGGGCAATGGGAGCCCCATTTCTCAGGGAAAGAAACCGAGATGTTTGAAGGGCGACCCTAGGTCAGGTATAGCAGAGACTGAGGCTATGATTCCAGGCTAGGTCAGGGCAACTCCAAAGGCTGCTTTATGAATGATGAGTAGAACTTGGGTTTCATTTCACTTTTGTTAGGCAAAGAGCAACACGCTAGAAAAAAAAAATAGCTGTTTGGGGTGGGTGGTCGGGAAAGAGGGCCATGGCCACTGGATGGCAAAAAGAAAGAAAAATAATGAACAGAAATTCAACCTGGGCTGCACACAAGTCCTAAGACATACCTAATATCTCAGTGTAGAAGATGCCTGAAAAATCAGGTCTTTCCAAGTCCCCAGCACACGCTGCCCTGACTCCTGGCCCTTATTTATGATCAAAAGGCTGTTGCGTACGATAAATATGTATACAGTTCATGAAATAACCACCTATATAAACAATATCAGACATGTGCCACAGGAAACCACACATTTCACAGCTGATCCTCAGCAAATGTGCCAGCTGCACAACGCCATGTGAGGAAAGACAAGAGAACTGGGTATCAGGGCTGCTTTTTGCAGAACTATTCCAGCCATCCCTAGAAGGCGGTAAATACTACAGATTCTGTGCTAAAGCAAACCCTTCACAAATTGGGCTGCCCGTATGCTCCCTTCTTCCCCCTTAAATAACCTAGTCACAGGGAGACTATTTCCCAGAGCCACATCCCCAGGGAATGGGTGATCTTACCTCACCTTGGAGTCTGCTTCTTAAAGAGCCACTCCTCCAGGGTCAGTTTAGCTGGTGACAGCCCACAGAAACTGTGTCCCAGGAGCGGAGAAGGAATTCAATGTCCTCTTTCAACACTGATCTTTGTACTCTACTGGGAACTCATGGACTCCAGCCTCGTGCAATTTAGTATTTGATTACACTGCAATCAGACTGGGAGCTAAGAGAAGCCACAAGTAAGCCTGGACTGTCCACTTCAGTCTTTAACAGGAAGGATTCACCACTCCTGGGAGTGCATCTTACATGCTTGAAGATAGTGAGAAAATGTTAAACGGCAAGGAAAGAGTCAATACAGCAATAATACCTGCTTCTCTATAGTATCCGCCAGCAATATCCAGGAACAAGTGAGAATGGCCTGCCAACAGGCACTTTCCCTCCTGAAGTGAAAGGAAATTACCTATGACCACTCTCCTCCTCAGCTTGCAGCTCAGGGGACATAATTTCTAGAGCTGTCTGATTGCCAGGAGTAGCTCAAAAGAAATACCCCCGATACTTCTTCGATTCCCACGCCTGTGGAATTTGTGCCAACTAAACAATACCTTTCGTCCAAGTTCATTTGTGACCTGGTGCAAACGTACAAGCAACGTAAGTGTGCTTTGAATGCGAAGTATGGAGTACTTGGCATGGTGTGGCATTAAAGTGTTTCTCAACCTGTGGGTCACGACCCCTTTGGGATCAAATGACCCTTTCACAGGGGTCACCTAGAACATAGAAATTTGCATTGAGATTCATACCAGTAGCAAAATTACAGGTGGGAAGTAGCAGTGAGATAGTTTTACGGTCGGGGGTCATTGCAATATGAGGAACTCTATTAAAGGGTTGCAGCATTAGAAAGGCTGAGAGCCACTGCAGTGAGGAGAAGGGACTAATCAGAGTCCCTCCCCAGGCAGGGGCTGAGAAGCCCCTGGAAGGGAGCACAGGCTTTTACCCACGAGCCATGCCCAGCACTCACCTACAGCACAGGGCCTGGCCCAGTGCAGGCAAAAGGAGGGAAAAGGAGAACAGGGAGAAAGAAAAGCAAAAATTGTTCTTAGACAACAAATAGCTACCAGAATTCCTGCCCAAGAAAAGCCCACAATACAGAGATGGAACAGAAAATGAAAATGTCCCTTCTCAGAGACCAAGACAAATTCAAACTACTAAATAAAAACAAAACATGTAGCAACAAAACCATCTGTCTACAATGAAAGTCACCCACTCACCCCTTGAGTGATCAGTCACGTGCCCAACTGTGAAGACCTAAAGACACTGAATACCAGAGCCTCGCCTGTGAATCCCACAGCAGAGAGATCGTCAAGCCCCTTCTAGACACCATGCAACAAGAGAAAACACCACCCATCACTGTCATTGTTTCTGAGCTCAGCGGTTCTTTAGAGAAGCTCCAAGCAGGAACACAGATGTTATCCTAAGAAGAGAGGCAGGGTTGCATCTTGACATGGGAGCATATGGGTCCTCCTTGGCATTTCTCTATCACTAAGGCACAGTACAGAGAAGGTCCAGCCCAACCAAGGAACTCATTCAGAAACTGATAGGTGGATGCACCACTGTGACAGAAAGAAAAGCGACATCCTTATCCCAACGGGCTGATTCGGGGAAAGTGCTTTAACACGCATCTCTCTTTCCAGCACAAAATGATACAAATTCTGTACTCCAAGTGACTACTGGGAAGACTAAGAGAAGAGGTGAGCACAGAAAGGATTCGGAAAGGGGCAGTTCCTTTAGAAAGAAACAGTACAGCGTCACCAAGAAGTCAGGGTCCAGCAACTCAAAACGATGCTCAGACCGACTCACCACAGCTCCCAGCACAGCATCTCCTCCAGACTTCATGACCCTTTATTATGTATTGTCAAAATTAACAAGACCCAAAGTCTGCGCATCTCAAAGAACGGCTACACAGAGCAGCCATTTGAAACAGAAGCTGTGGCACTTCACAATGGACTTCAGACCTTCACAACTGAATGTATTTTTAGGCACGTATCCACCATAAAAATTGAAAAATCCATGACAGAGTTAGACCTAAAAAAAACAATTAGCTTTACATCTTCTAAGTCTATATCTTCTATTACTTATATTTATTATTTACCCTTCTTTCTTTTCTACACGTATAATATACCCACACACACATTTGTTTCTGTAAATATTATATGTGTGTGTATAATATATATATATGAAATTTTGGTTTGCGATGGTTTTTATTTGCAAGTTTTTTATAATAAAGTTTATATAAAATACATATTACCTATTATTAGATCTTATCATCATACCTAAAATCTCTTTTCACGCACACAGACACAAAGCCCAGTGATTTTTTTTTCTATGCCAGTATATGACAGAAATGAGACTGAAAAAGGAATTATCCTGAATTGTGTAATAAGTAGTCACATGTTGCTGTGGACTGGGAGTTTATGTCCTTTGCATGGTGGGCAGAGCCTTTAGAGATGAGATCAGGACACTCATACATGGGGCCCAGGAGATACTTCAAGCAAAAAATCTAATGTGCCTCGTAAAACTGCAAATAGCAGCTAAGTGGTTCCTCGCATCTATCCTACTCAGCTTTTCTCCGAAGAATAGAGACCTTCGTTACTGGTGCAGGGGCTGTGATTCACTCCAGAGGAGAACTCAGGGTTCTTCTACACTTTGAGGATCTTTCTGTTTTGTAACGAGCCATTTATTTTTTAAAGATAAATGCAGGGTAACAGGAAGTGTTCCAGTTAATGTTTCTATTGTTGTGATAAAGGTCATGACCAAAAGCAGCGTGGGGAGGACAAGGTTTGTTTGGCTTAGCTATCTAGGCTCACATTCCCAGAAGGAAAGCCAAGGCAGGACTTCAAGGCAGGAACCTGGAAGAAGGAACTAAGCTGACTGTTAATTAACTGGACTGGTCCTCACGGCTTGCTCAGTCTGCTTTCTTAAACAACTCAGGACCACTTGCCCAGGGGTGGCTCCACCACAATGGGCTAGACTCTCCCACATCTGTCCTTAGCCAAGAAAATGCCCTACAAACTTGCCTATGGCCCACTGATGGAGGCATTTTCTCAATTTAGGTTTATCTTCCCAGAAAACTCTACTGTGGAGGTTTAAATGAGAATGGTCCCACAGAATCATATATGTGAATGCTCAGTCTCCAGTTGCTGGAGTGGATGAGGATGCTGGAGTGGCCTTGTTGGAGAAGGTGTGTTATCATTCTCTCTCTCTCTCTCTCTCTCTCTCTCTCTCTCTCTCTCTCTCTCTCTCTCTCCACACACACACACACACACACACACACACACACACACACCTCGTTTGTGGATACGATGTAAACTCAGCTACTGCTCCAGCACCACGCCTGCCTGCCTGCCTGGCTATGGCCATTATTCTTCCATGATGGTCATGGACGAACCCTCTCAGTGAGTCACAAGTTAAATGCTTTCTTTTATTACTCGCCTTGGTCATGGAGTTTTATAAGCAATAAAATAGTAAGCTAATACATCTAGCAAGTGTCAAGCTGACGAAAACATGCCTAAGGTCAAATGAACGGTTCATCTCCTAAGGTTGTCGTGAATAAACCCCTCACACATCACGAGACAACCCAATCCTCACCAACAAACTTTTGCTTAGAGCAAATGAAACTCTGGATCTGCCATGTCCTCTTCAGTAAAAACCTTGTTCATGATTTCTGTCGCCACCACTCCTCCTCCTCCCTTCTTCCTCTTGCCCTCCCCTCGCATCTTCCATACAAACCTTGTGCTCTAAAAGAGCCCTCGCCTGCTTATAAACCTTCTTTTCTTGCCCCCATGACCTCTGTAGCGGGGTGAAAGGCTATAATACCCATTACCGCATACGTGGCTTCTCCCATTCACACACAGAGGAAGCTAAAACTGAAGGATCAGCCACTTGAAGAAGATTTCAAGATCCAGTGTAGGGGGCAGAGACCATGTTCAAATTAATGTCTAGACCCCCTACTACTGGTGAGGCCTCGGGCACCAATCAAACTTCCTTGACCCAAGTCTTTATTCTGAGGGGCGTTCTTAGACAGTCGTCATAAATGAGAAAGGCCTTCTCCATTCTCTGATTAGCAAATGCTGCCTTTACAGTCCTTATTTTATTATTTTTGTGTATGGGCATTTTGCTTGCATTTTGCTTATATATGTCTGTGTACTGTGTGCATGTCTGATACCCACGGTGGCCAGAAGGAAACATCAAATGCTGTGTGACTGGAGTCACAAATGATTGTGAGCCATTATGTGAGCGCTGAGAACTAAACCAGTGTCCCCTGGAAGGACAGACAGGACTAACAGCCAGGCCTCTTACCCTCTGAGCCATTGTCTTAGCCTGATAACATATGCCAATAAATCTTACTTCCTTATATTTACAGAGAGAAACAAGGTAATATAATATGGCAATACGGGGGATTAATGAACTGTGAGGTTGGAATGTTGTCAATCCATTAAGTAATCGAATAACTTGTTAAATAAAAAGAACTAAGGCTTCTCTTCCTTTAAAGAGTTCCAGAAGTATTGTAGTACTTTAAGACAATTTTGAGGCCATTCCTGAGTGCCTTAGTACTTCCCCCTCCCTCCCTGGGAATATGTGCACATACTGAAATGTTGGGAACTTTCCATCTCTTAGGACCTTGTGGATACTCTCCAAATAGAACTCTGTTTCTAGAATTGGGACAAGATAACCCACAGATGTCCACCAATGTTTTGATGTGGTCCCTGGAAAGGAGTCGGAATGAACCCCAGATGTTCCCTGTTGTCTCGCCTGATCTGACAACCGATCTCCAGCCCTGGCTCAGACCACTTGTTATTAGAAGCCCCCCTGAATAAGCTAATCCTAATAATTGGAAAATTGCCCCCAAGTCCCCCTCCTTATTTCTATGGATTTTCGCTTTAAAAATGGCTTGTAACAGGCATTCGGGATCCTTGGCATTGAATGCTAAGTGACCCTACTGCAGTAGAATTAAAATCCTCTTGCTTTTACATCAATTGAGGTATGAAAGTGTATTCTTGGAGTGACTCCTCCTCAGTAGTTGGACTCTAGGGTTCAACAGTATTATAATCAACAGTGGTGGTGTGAATGAGAACATCCCACATAGGTTCAGATGTTT